CTATAATGAGTGCATCGAAAGCTCCCATGAGCGTTTTCCGATTTGCGAGAGTCTAAAGCAAGTAATTCGTCGGATGGTGGTACAGAATTATCCGGAAAAACAGCACTAGAAAATGATACGCTCTATCGGCACGGTTTGACATTTTGTTAGAAATTAGTTGAACGTAATAACACTGTTGAAAGTTGAGCCATTTGTTCATTCAGTTACAGTGCTACTATAACTTGTAGCAGCCACAGTTTTTTACAGAATATTCGACTTGATGTAAAAAAGTGTAAATGAAGATGAGTATAATCTTGTAGGGGAGAGAAATTAAGAGCAATAGAAAGAGGCTACTTACAAAACGCAAGTGATCATTGTCGTGATTGTGCGCCCTCCATCGCTCCGAATACGTTGGTATCAAACTTGGCTTGATACATCAACAGGCCATACTCAGGTCGTTGTATAGGCCACTTATGCATTGATTCACCTTCAGCGATGTTTGATAAGCTCCCTTGGGCTTTGACCAGCGCCATAAGTTTTATCCTTATCCTTATCTTGATCGCCTCCGTGTTAAATGACAATGTTAAAATGTTAGCCTATTATTAAAAATTATATAAAATACAAGGTTATTCAATTATAAAACCAGAATTGCCGATCTTAAGTCTAAAATGTCTATACATTTGTAAAGAATCAGTAATCTAATTGGCCTTCATGGAATCGAACTGATAACGAGATAGTGCTCACGATTGAAGAGGTTCTTAATAAGGTGGGATTTCGTATGTACAATTTTTTCTCACCCCATTTTCAGCACTTTGCTTTATTGAGTTCATTATGTATTGCTTCACCAACATTTACTGAAATAAAAAAGTTTTCTAGAAAACTAAGAGAGAGAGTTTTACGTCAGTGTAATGCCTTCTACTTTTGAAGAAAATAAGTTCATGATCGTATTCAGGCTAGAAAACCTCAGAGTACTTACTATCATTATTCTTCTTTTATGGGCAGAAGTAATTTTGATTTCTGCGACAAAGGATTAAGTTGTAGTGAAAGTGTTGGAAACCACTGAAACAGGATGTCCTATTGGTTTCTCATTTTATCTTGAAACATGTGATTTTATGCCCATAAATAACTTATAAACATACAACCAGGTATCAGTGCTTTTTTGGTGAGCATACGTAAGGTTGTTGCTGACACCAAGATTTAAACCTAAGAGAATTGAGTTGTGAGCAAAAATACGGCAAAAATACAGCAAAAATACATTGTAAAAAAGTTAGCACAGAAATACTGAAGAATGAATGGTGGTGCAAATGTGCCTCGGTGATGCAGTGGTAGCACGTTGCCGGTATGGATGAAACGCGAGTTTGACTCCTTCCTGAAACCGTGCTTTTGCTCACCACTTAACTCTCTTAGGTATATAGGTGACATCAGAACTCTATACAAAAACAGTAAGAATAGTAGAATTATCAAGATTTATTTAATGCAGTGCTAACCGGCGTGTTGACGCTTCCGTCTTAGGAATCCAGAAAGATAGAGTGGATACATAATCTACTTAGTCAAGCACTTTCATTGCTACAGTAGAATAAGCCTGATACGCAAGTTCTTCAAAATAAAAGAAGCAAATTACAAAAGTCCAAAAATGAACTCCGAAGGTGATGTATTTGAACCACTGTGCATTCACAATTCACGTAAAACATTGAGCGACTCATCTCCAATAATAACCAAAGCACCTCAAAAGAAGAGATCGGTATGTGTTCTGTTAAGGCGCTTTCTGTATAAATTAAAATTTACGCTATATGAAAGTATTTGGCAGAATAGACTGGATGTCAATTTAACTTCTTCGAACTATGAAGATAGGCGAAACAGCCGGAACGTCAGCCAGTACTGTATTGAACTATTTTTACTGGTAACAAACTCTTGTCCGCCTATCAGAAAAACATTGAATAATTCAACCAGTGCCCAAATTAATTGGAAATCAATTCTGGAAAGCGGCTTTATTCTCTACAACAAGTTGAAGTATTTGTTTTGCAGTATGCGATTCCTAGAAAATATTAGTGCCACCATAAACTCAGCAATGGTTCATAAAATCACAGTGGACCATTACATTTGTCGAAAGTGAAAAATTTATTAGAACTCTCTCATGTTGTGTATTTGCTGCTAGCAATTTTTCGATGTGCTAACTCTCCTTAAACCACGTCGCCCTACATAGTCACTATAGTGTCCATGACATACGAGACCTTTCACGGCCGTGTATACTGATTTCTCCACATGCGCCAATTTTTTGGTCCAAAATATCGCGTTTCAAAGTCTGTTTCTCCAGTCTGAATTTTTTCTAACAAATCAAGTGGACGGAGCCAAATATTAGCGTAGTAATCGCATCTAAACCAATTTGTCATGTTTTCATTGATTGCCAATTACTTATTAATCACTGACTTTGGTGTCTACAAAATCTTTCTAAAATACGTAATTAGAATGTTGGCTAATAACCCTGTGAAAGAATAGAAAATGAGATAACCTTCAGCTCAATGTTGTCAACTACTGTAACGAATTCATTTATCAGTCACGTCACAATTTACTTTGAGAGCGTCTTTTTTTTTGAGTGAAAACATGTACAACACAAATTCCATAATGGCGACTCGTTTGCTTTTAGTACAATCCATGTGCCGGGATGTTTTCTAAACCATGTTCAACAGTTCAAAAATTGCCGCTTTGTCAACGACTGATTTCTTTCACTCTTTCACACCTTGTAGCACTATTTATAGATTTGCTTCAACCAAATGATGATGATCGTCGATGACAACAGGATGTCAAGGTGACTACTGGTGCACGTAATTTCTCTTCTAAACATTGTACATTATGGATGCTTAGCTTACAAACAACAAAGACGGCAATAAGTTAATAGACATAACGAAATCATTTCGTCTACTGTCTAGAAAGATGAAGAGATTAGAGCAGAAATAGTGATCCGTCCATTATGCACACGGAGTAGCGGGATTTAAACACGTCCTGGGCTCACCAAACCCCTAAGCCTTTAGCTTCAGCAAATCGTTATCAGTCTACTGAACAAGCTAGCTCCCTCTAATCTACTGAGAGAACGTCCAGAACATTTATTAGAGCATTGCAAAGGGAGTGGATTTGTCCACTATTCAGCGAAACTTGTGACAAAGACGAAAAAGCCCTAACAGCTGTCAAACCCTTGCAGAAAAAACCGTTTCGTGACCTTTGAGGATTGTAATAGCGATTATACGAGTTGAAAATAAGAAGTGCTATCCGAACAGTGTGGTGCACGCAATTTTGTGATTTGACAGAAAAAAAAAGTCAAAAAGTCTTTGACAGTACTACCACTTCTCAAAAGTTGACGGCATAATTTCGTTTAAGAAGGCCACTTTTCTAAGTTCATAAAGAAAAACTAACTTTATTGAGCAGTTATACTTGTTTGTCGGCCTTTTGACCCTCATCAAAGGTTCCATATCGTTCATGAAATAATTCGGAGTACTCAAAGAGTGGATTTCGTGCAAGGTACTCGTAAAGGTGATATCCAAGTAGAACTTGTAACTCAAACAGCTCAGTTGTTGCGTTTACTGTCAAGAAGAATCTTCCCGTGACATTTCTTTTCCGAGTGACTGTATGATATTCCACTGGTGCTTTTTTTTCTATTCTCATCACAAGAATGCCGACATGCGAGCAAAATTGGAAACCTGAAGTGAGTTCGAAAGTGTATCTGTTCGCTTCTCAGCATTCTTGTAATTGTATTCTTGTCGTATTTTGCCATGAAAAAAGCATAGACAGCGGAAAAAAATCAAAGATGTTTTTTCTTAGCATCCTTTTGTTGTGTTTGTGGAGAAAAGAGGTGTAGTTCATAGAGTTTAGAAAAAGGGAATCATGCTGCGATAGCTCGTTACCTTTGGCACTGTATTCGCATCTCTTCATGCTCTCAAACGTATTGATCTTGAGAAGTATAAAATCGTTAATATTTTTCTTCTTACGAGAAACATACTCCTACCTGCTCATCAAAGGGACACGGTCTTTTTGAAGTAAATTAATTCATTAATTATTAAAATACTGCCCGTTATTACAAAAAAAATGGATTCCAACTAGATCAAGAGATTTGGGTGGCGAGTTTTCAATTATTTTGAGGAGACCAACGAACTTTATTTCCCTTTCTCTCAGCGACTTCTTGAGCAGTTTGTCAACTTTCGACACGAAAAATGGCTGTGTTTTTGATTCCAAAAAGACCATTATCTGATGACTAATTGAATCGCATTTTTGGCGGACACATAACTATGCTTTTTACCTGTTTGTCTTTCTGAAAGCATTTCCTATATCCAGACCAGAGCACGTTTCGTTTACGAGATTTTCTTCATAAAAGGGCGAGTGTACAGTAGTTACAGGTGCCTTGCAGTATACGAATGTTTCTTGATTCGATGACGTGGAAACATTTCAACTAGTAGAGGTCGAAAAATTGGGGTCAGATTTGTCTGAAAGGATATCGACGATAAACTGATAATCGATAAGTCACCATTGGCAGTTGTACAGGCAGGATATGCATTTCATCACCTCTATGCTATCAAGAATCTCCAAGAACTGATCACTCAATTCTTATCTTTTCATCATTCTACGATATAACAAACAGCTCACTACTGCGCTAAGAATGAGTTTACAGATTATACATTTTTGTAAGAAAACTTCTGGAAAGATATATATTTAAGAGAATTTAGTGGTGAGCAAAAGCACAGCCTCAGGCAGGAATCGAACCAGCGTTCATTCATGCCGGCTACGCGTGCTACCACCACATCGTCACGGCGTATTTGCGCCACCACTCATTCTTCAATATCTGTATGATAGCTGTCAGGCACCAACCTTTAACAGGTTTGGTCGGGTATGCGAAGCCATATAATAAAAATTAGTAAAGCACTAAAATTTCGAAATATTATATCTAACAGTAGCTGTCAGCTCAACTGCATTTATAAAGCGAATAGCTGATAGCTAACATAGAGATGTTGAATAATGAGTGGTGGCGCTAATGTGTCTTGGTGGTGTAGTGGTAGTAGTACGCGTCCCTGGCATGGATAAAACGCGGGTTCGATTCCCAGCTGAGACCGTGTTTTTGCTCACTACTCAATTCTTTTAGGGATATATGTAACATCATAAGACTACGAAAAAAGCAGTAAAAATACTAGAATTTTGGAATATTCTGGAGAAACTGATAATCGTTCTTTCCACCATAGTCGTGCGGAATGAGATTACCGCATGAACGGTAACAGGATATGAATTGGAAGTTCTAAAAAGTCGACATAATGGTTGGAGTAGCGAATACATTTAGTCCTGAGCGCATTAGCGCAGAGGGGTTAAACCCTGTAGTGCACATGTGATCGGTGCCTGAATAGGCTCAGCACACCAAGCTTTCTATCTCTTTTGTACAGAATTGGTGCCAGACTCGTCTCAGAGAAAGCACAGCACTGATCAGATATATCGGTAGAGCATCGTCCACCGTTTTGCTTTGAAGGCCAAACTTCATTCACCCCTGTGCTGCTTGATAAACAGTGCACGGCCTTCCCTGAAGTATTGGTCTACACATGGAATTTTATTATCTGTTCTTATTTCGAAGTCGAATTTCGGCAAATTGTTCTCCTAGAGGAGGGTCTACACTCCGAATTCATCTTTACGAGGTCAGTTTAAAAACAATGCAGACGTGATTCGAACCGAAATTATCTTCGACTTGCCCACACTTTGAGCGACAGCAGTGAAAGTAACGCTTGCGGTTTCATGTCTGTTTAAACGCTCTGCATAATAACGGATGGGACTTCAAAATAGGTTTGCTCGCACACTTTTATTTTCTTTTATTGACTTTGCAAAATTTCGTAACTGTTTCGACTTTGAAGCAGATTTATCGACTCAAAAGTCCGACACTCTCTAAATCTAGGCATGAGTAAGGATATGCAAAAATTATTACAGACTGCCCCTTTCTTTAATTGAAACTTGCAAGAGGTTGGCACGTATCCTTTCTCGAAATTTGATGGGTGCCGTTTCGGCAATCCCGCCTTCGTCAGAGCGTAAACGTTTATGTCATTCCATATCTGATTATTCAGTTAACATTTCGTATGCATCAAGAATCCACTACAAAACAATTCCACACTCTGCTCGCTCTCAAAAAACTACCCTTTGTAACAAATGAAGTAGCGCCACTATCATAAAGTGTTTAAGAAACAGTGGTTTGGAAAACTCCGTAGGAACCATAGAAATTCCACCTAATAACTCACGTCGGTTCGTAACCGCTTATAAGACCGTCTATGTGAGACCGATAATTGTGTAGTATGCCCGAATGGTAGAGACGGAGACTGCACGAGTTCGGGTGAGGAGAAGAATACATTGGCGAAACGGGAAGACCATTTGGATCCTCATTAAAGAGCACCTAGACGGGAAATCGAATAGCCAAACAAGTAAGTCTTTAGGGCTGCACAGAGTAGAAAGCACAAAGATGTGGACTTTAATGTGTTAGTTCGCGAAAAATCCTTGAGGCTCTTTGGACAAATCGCTAAAGTCCAAAAATGGATAGCAGGGGAGAGTACCTGTACATAGATAATATGCGCTTTATCTCAGATTCATTTTCTGGTATGAGTATGGTTCACTTTCATAGTCCGCCACGTAAGACCGGTGACCTCTTCCTTATAAGTATTATGAAGGTGGAGTTTTTTCAAGTTAATTAGAATGTTGAATTGTTTCGTACTGAATTCTTAATGCATGCGGAATGCTAACCGAGTAATCAAGATATGGTATGATATAGTATGTCTACCATCTGACGAAGGCGGGATCGCTGAAACGTTAATCATCACATTTTAAGAAAGGAGACGTGCCAACCTCCTGCAAATTTTAATTAGAGAAAAAGGCAGATTTATAAAACTCGTAACTATTTCGACCTTGAGGAAGATCATTGATATATGTTCAAATATTTCATACTAGGATTAGTAGAAATACTACTATTCCGGAATACTATCTCACTTATGCTAAGCTTGCCAAGCCTGATTTCTAGATAGAGTTATACTAGATTAGAAATTAAACAATAATGTCCTTCCAGATGCGATTGAGTTTGCCGATGAAGTCATGAGATACCGTTTTCAAACTGAAAATTCCCTCTTTGTTTGAGAAAAATGTTGTGCTTTAATGAAGTGCTGTGCAGGTAGTACCTTAATCAGTAAAGGATAATTCATCATTCATTCTGCGACTGCAAAGGTTGTAATTAAAATCTTTCGTGGAGATAATCTGCAGGAAAGCACAGGCTGAGCTTTGCAAAAAAAAAGATTAGATCAAACTCTGCAAAAAAAATGAAGAACGAACCTTGCAAAAAGCTTCGAATTAGGTAGCCACTACTCCCGAAGTAGAGATTTTTGAAAGGAGCATTTAATACTGGATTTCTTGAAGCAAACCTCTCCTGATGTGATTTTCTCCAGCATTTCTCTATCTCTTCCTCTTCCAATCCTTTCTTAGCTAACTTTAACTAATCAGTCCCTCGCCTAGACTTTCCGAAAACTCGATACTAGTGACCGTTTTTAGACGGTTGAGTTTAAGTGATTCGTTTCACACTTACTATTTGTTAGCTACGGATTAATCTGCCAGTATTTTTTGCAATTTCTCTCAAGGAAAGGAATAAGACGTGGCGTTAATAGAAAAGATTTAAATTGGAAAAATCCTTCATAGCCTTTACACATGGAGAAAGGACTGTTTGTTGTTAAGGCGACAACATTCATCCAAATCAAATTATTTTTTGCAAAATGCCAATGTAATTGTAAAAGTAGAAAATTTCAATATGTGTGCGAAGTGAGCAAAACTACTGATTGAATAGAAGGGATAAAAACGACTTGATTTTATCATTCGCCTTATCAACCTCTGCTCCACCGAAGATGGGATGTTTATGATGTCATTATACCGCATGAAAGAGGTTTCGATGAATTTGACTCCATTTGGAGAAATAATGATAGGCATCTTTGAAGTCAAAGGAAAATAGATAAGCAGCGCAAAACACTCAGCCGTACAAGGCGAACTATCAGCGAAAGTTTCATGGACTCTGCTTAACTATAGTATGCTCGAAGTTGAAGGCTCAACAAGTGATGATGAAATCCCTACCACTAGAGCTCTCGAGTTGTGAACCACACAGATTTATTTAAGAGATGCTTTGCCGTTTCAGTCTTGTGCATGATTTGTGTACAGTATTCTCCTAGTACCAAATGTATTTATATTTGAATCTTTGAGAAAATCTGATATCAGAAAATGTATTTTTAAAACATCTAAGCACGAGCGCAAAATCTGCAAACATAAGTAATTTGGCGGAGGACACCACTTTTGCACAAATTCCCAATGCTTCGTTTGCTTTCATATCTGATTCACGAGCTTTCAAGCAATAAAAATGAAGACATTAGTCTCTAAAATGAAGAAATAAGTATTGTTGGGGTAGAATGATTGTCACTGCGGGCGATGAATATGGTTTTTGCGACAACTAACAAAGTATAGGAGGAGTTGAGAAATGCAAAAGAATGATTCTTATGCTATGATGTCAATAATTTCTTAGAAAGATGAGAGAAAAATGAATTAAATGCTGCAATCATAAGCGCATGTGATTTTGAATAAGTGAAAAAAATATACTATTCATCCAAGGATTTCAGTAGGTTGGATTTACTCCGAAAGCGACTATATTATTCTCAGATTAGTGAAAAAGTGGAAGTTCACGGCAATAGAAAAGTACAGTTTATCTTTTTATTTTGCTATGAACAATTTTGAGGATTGGTTTCACTGATTTTGTTCAAAAAAAATCTATAGGTGAAATTCTGTTCCGATGGCGCTATTATTTCAAGTAGAAGCGGAAAAAATGCCGTTCAACACCTTTAATCAGCCCCCTTGCCGGCACCACACCAAACCGACTGTGATATAATAAGAAATCTCAAATCCTGATTGTGAAATGATATTTTGAAACCGACTCTTCTTTCCGCTCCCTGTTTCAACCCTCTAATATCAACGCGTTTCTGTGTTTTCAGTTTCACTGCTTATTTGATAGGTTGAATTTAAATAATTCATGCTCTATCTTTTTCTCGAAAGTTTTCTTTTGCGCTACAATAGTAAAAAAGGATTGCGCTTCAAACTCAGACAATTTTCTTTGGACTGAGCATTTCCTTTGGACTTTTAGGAAGTATTAATTAGCTTAAATCTCGATGATTTCATTGGTCACTTCGGTTTCCGAGAAGAACTTTTTAATGCGCCGTAGCAGCTAGAAGAGGATTGATTTTCGCACTCTGCACTCTTGCTTTATCGTATAGGCTGTGTGAGTGGCTGTGTATCGATCGCACTATCGATCCACTACACAGCATTATTCACATGTGGCGGGCAATTATTGACATCAAATTTTATGTTTTCCTCTGCTGAAAAAAAATTTAGCCCTTTTGGGACCATAGACCCAATCCTCTGCATGTCTAATTGACAAGACTGGAGGATCTGCTCCATCTCCTCTGCATTCTGACCGCGCTGTGTGGTCTCCTTCAACTCTTCTTTGACTTTAATCCCAGTGTGGGAATCACTGCCTGTCTCAGTCCTCTCTGCCATTCGACACAATGACACGCGACGAGCAATCTCCAGCGAAGGTTGCTGGTTCGTTCCCTACCACGGCGCTTCATTGTAGTTTTTTTTTATTGTTTTTATTGTTGCCTTTCTGTTGTCTTTTAGCATTGAAAGTTCTTCTACAACGTAATTATTCCAGCAAAAAAGTTTAGTTGTTCAACATTTCACTACCTTTTTGATACAAAACGTAAGTTCGTAGGGTGGCAACGCATGTCCAACTTTTTTAGCTCTGAATGACATTGTGGTAGTTTCTTATGTAATCCAATTTAGAATGAAGGTTCAAATCTATATGATATGCCTAATAGTATCCAATTCGATGTGTTCTCAAAAAACCAAAAAATACCATTGAAAAAAACTACAGCGAAGCATCGTGGTGGGGGATCAAACCAGGAGCCCTTACTGCGGACTGCTTGTCACCTGCGATTGTGCCAAGAGGCAGAGAGGAATGAGACAGGCAGTGATTTCCGAGGTGGAGAGACCATCCAGCTTTGCCCGTTG